CAAAAACTATTAGATTTTTTAAATAATGTTAAATTCTATGTAGAGTTTACTGAATTATAGGGTAAGATTGGCCTTCTGTCTCGGGCTTGATGGTATAAAATTGATACTTTCGTATTTGGCAATTCGTACAAAGTATTGACATTTTGACGATTTGCTTTGTGCTCTCATTTGTTGATGATGTAGTTTTAAGTAGAATGGAATAACCTAAATCAAATGAATTGATCTGGTTATGTTGAACAGTTCACGTTGAATGACTGAATTCTGAAAATTCTGCTTCTTTGGTTACTTTTTACTTTTATAATTTATACTTTATACTTTTTAAAATTCTGTGCCAATATGGATAAACTTTCTATTGTTACACTAACTTCATCACTGCTATCCAACATATGTGACCTGGACTACGGAAAGGAGGTTTATGTGCGAAAATTTAATTTTATTTCTACAAAAAAAAAAATTTAAATTAAATTTTATATTTTGCGTTTCTAATTTAAAGACATTAAACTTTCGATGCAAATAACTCAGCCGCGAAGATAGTTGCGAAGCTGAGGTTAAGTTCATTGAAAAGACCGCACTTTACATTATTAGAATGATTCAAATGACAAAATCGAACCCTTGACACGTAAACCCCCTTCCGTAGTCCAGGTCACATATGTGTGTTTGCTCCTTTTAGTTGTAGATTCAGGATATTTAATTTCTCGAATATGTCGACCAAGTAACTCAATTTCATCACAAATAAAGCATATCGAAACTTTTCGGCTTTCGGGCAGTTTTCCTTTTCTAGAAAAGTGGCAATTTTCTCTTTTAACTCATAAACACGTTGTAGAAATTTCCCACGCGATAACCATCTAACCTCGCAATAAAATAGCAACGTCGAATGTTCTGCACCCATATCTTTGCAAAGTGCATCAAAGATTCTTGAATTTAGGGGTCTCATTTTTATGTAGTGTAATTTACTACAGTTACAACCGTCGTTAGCAGAATGTTGAGACCAGGACTCATTTCTTTGGAAGCCAGAGCCTCTCTGTGGATCATACAATAGGTCCAGACACGTTGCGGAGATTTTTGTTTCACAAGTGCTTGTACAGTTTGGAATCTTCCAGACATTGTACGAGCACCATCGGTAGATTATAAGATATTAAGATTAAGATATTTGAGAAATTGTTGCAGACTCAGCTCCGTCGCCATATTAACACTTTTAACTTGTTGCCTTGCTATCAGTCAGGTTTTAGACCGGGATATAGATGTGCCACCGCGGTGACTTGCGTGATTGATGACATTGTTTCGGCTACGGACAAGGGAAAACTTACGGCTCTTATACTTCTGGATTTCACGCGGGCCTTCGATATGGTTTCCCATAGAATACTCTTGGCTATACTTGTGGCAATGGGTTTGGATGAGGGAGCGGTGGCGCTGAGTTGCTCATATTTGGCCAACCGCAGACAGCGAGTTGTTGTTGATCGTCTCCATTCGGATTCTCTGGATGTCAGTGTTCCCCAGGGTGCTATCCTATCACCAATTCTGTTCGCTTTATATACCTATGACCTACCAAGCCATCTTCTGGGATACAACTACCACCTGTACGCCGACGATACTCAGATATACAGATCCTTCTATACACAAGATGCCGCGGATGCTGAGAGTAGTATCAATTCTACCTTGGAGGCTTTGCTTAAATACACAAAACGACACTGTCTTGTGCTGAACCCAACGAAATCATAAGCTATTCTGTTCGAACCGACCCGTGGCCGTGGGTGCGGGGATCAACTCGGGTTGACCGTCGGGTCTGTGCCTATCCCGTTTTTCGATTGTGTTAAGGATCTCGGTCTCTTTCTGGACAGGAGTCTGCGTTTTGTTGAGAATACCTCTTACTTAATAAGTAAGTCACGGATCGTCTTCGACGAATTCTGTGAAATAGCTCATATTGCTTCCCTCAAATTTATATGTAACAATATAAATTTGAGTAGCAATTCGGCAATAGCAATTCGATATTGTAGTTTTTTTTTTTAGTTTTTGTACTTTGAGTGAGCAATAAATTTACAACGGTATCATTTGAAAGAGGTATGGATGTTTGGCAAAATTATCTCCAAACATAGTTTCTACAATCTCCATCGCAGCTGGCAGAATTTTTTAAAGAATAATGTTTGCTCTTCATACGACTTTAATTTTAATTCAAAGAATTTTCGGGGCTTTATAACGTACTCACTATAAAGTGTTTCCAAATGGCGTCTAAGTTTGTTAGGTTTCATGCTGCCTGCTGCCAAAATTTTATTAGGGTCAAAATTTTTAACGTATAATATACGTCATATTTAGGTTGGGCCCCGAGTACTGAAAGGTGGAGAAACGCTGCACTAGATGTTTCATCTCTTCAGAGATTTTATCATTTAAAAACTTAAAATTCCTAATAATTCTACGCAAAATGAAAAGGTATTATAAGGTATGAATAGAAAATTGCTCTGCAAATTATTAGATTAATAAACTATAAAAATGACAAGGAAAAAGAAGAATCATTACTGCTATCCATTATCTACAATTACAAACACTTTTATGAATTCTCTTTGTATTTTTATATTTGACAATTTTATCGTTTAATACTTGGACTTTTATTGTACGATCGAGTGGAATTTCGTCTTTTGCGTCAGCATTGTTAATACAACCTTTTTGTTTCTGAGTTATTACGTTAATAAGTTTGTTTCCAATTAACCGAGTTGTTAAACAAGTGTTTACGACGATTCAAGTTGGTTTATTTTCTTGCTAAATAAAATGTAAGACTTTTTTACGTCACTTTAATGATTGGACATATATTATTATAAACTTGGGCAAAAGATAAGAAGCTGAAATAGCCACGAATTAAAAAAAAAATAATCCAATTTATTAACACTTGTTATTTACATTGACAAAAAATCGACCAAATTAATTCAAACATAAACCAAACCAAGCAAAATTCGCGTTGAAAGTTTATCAAAATGAACGATGTTAGCATAGATTAGTATTCATTTTTCGAAATTGTATAAAAATTAAAGAAGGAGCAAATTGCCTCACATATTTTCAGTTTGGTATCTTTTCTAAGATAGAAATAGAGACCTATGCGAAGTTATCCTCGAACATTTTCATTTCCCAATTAAATATGATTTTACATGTATGTATGTTTAATATTTTAATTATGATGAAAGAACGTTTCTTAACTGATTTCGAACAACAATATTTCATTCAAAAATTTAACTTTTGTGTCTACACCCACATACTTGAGTGGGCCTTTCATTTTCAAATCAATATATTTTGATTTGTAGGTGGAAGTAGTAGTGGAGTTGTAGGTGCCCTATCCATTTGAACTTTCGAGTAGCCTCCACAAATAAATATTGTTATTTATCATATTAAGAAATAAATTTATTAAATGTTTTTTTTGGTATCAAATTTACAAGCAATTTTTATAATTTACTCCTTGTTTATTCTATATTATATGCGTAAAATATAACGTTTCAGCTTTAATACAAGATATAACTTGCTCTTTAGCTCTCAAAAATAAGATCATAGCAAGTTTTTTATTCTAATTTGTTCTAATTCTAATTTGTGTCATAATCGTACAAATCCCAATTTTGCAATTTTTTCTAAAAATTTATATTGTTAAACTTGTCTATTCTATATTATATGTATACGCAAATATAAGTTGTGCTTTAACTCCTAAAAGTGAAGAAACATAATTAAACATTTTTGTTTAATTATTAATGATACCTTCTTTTATTGATTTAGCATTTCTTTGTATATTTTATAGAACAAAAAAATAAAAAATTTAAAAAAAAATGTTATTTTAGGTTGCGCTTCTATCACATTGGGTGATATCTACTGAATGTTGAGGTCTTTTTGTCTAGTGACTTTTGGTATTCTTTAGAAGTTTTTCGGGTTGGTGTTCTTCTGGGGCATAGGTAACGATTTCCCTTCTGCTTGATTCTGCTAGAATTGCCACGTTCGTTTTGAAGGCTGACTGGCAGATTTTTAATAGTAGATGGTACTGGGCAGCCTAACATGCTTTGAATTCCACTACGAGACGGAATTCCACTACGGCATGGTTAATTGTTGATTACAGTTTGTTGATGGCGGCAAGTCTGGATTATTTTCTATGTAGCTCACGTATACAGCTACATCTATGATGTTGCAAAAAAGCCAAAGGCCATGTCTGCGTTCTGCTCTTCTTTGTATATGTACTCATCATTTAATATTAATAACATGCCCTTAAATGAAAATAAAACTGTTTTTTACGTTTTTTTTCTAACATAATGGTGTCTATGTTAAGCCTGTTCGTGCATATAAGTTTCTGAGATTAATAATTTGTATTCGTTTCTACTTTGAGGTTGCAAACAGTTAAATCTGTATAAAGTAGTATAAAGCAGTATAAATCTGGGGCTCCATATGTAGCTTGTAAATCATGTGTTGAGACCTTCAGACGCTGGAATAATACCAAGAGTACAATTACAACAATGCCTTTCAGAACACCAACATTTCGGCGTGAATCTTTCAATCACGATTACTGCTATTTTTGTTTAACTAAATCTAAAATTATCGGTTTTAATTCTAAAAGTTCTCATAATATTAAGTATCCGAATGTAGCAAGTGTTACGGAACCCTCTCCTTTTGAATCTGACGATATTCCTCCAATTCCACCAAATCTGAAGACATTGATTCACTTGATTGTGAACACTCTAATTTTCGGCCGATTCTGTATGATCAGACTGCAATAAATGATTTGGTCAGGGATTTAGTTTACCTCAAGATAAATCTGAACTGTTAGGTTTACGACTAAAAGAGTATTTCTTGGTATAGAGAGTACAGACATCGAGAGAAGTCATTTATTGAGTTCTTCTCCGAAGGTGGCAGCTATGTTTATTGTAATGATGTCAATATCCTTGTGCAAAAATGTGGATAGTTATATGACCCAGAAATTCTCAAAGATCCATTTGGTCTTGGTCTTGCGGGAAGGATGTTCTTCGTTGTTAGAAGTTTAGGATTCTCGGGAAATTTAGTTCTCGGGTCCTTCGGGAACAAGATGGAACATTGGACTCGATCTCAGGTATGGTTTCGATTTCTTCGAAGATAATTTAGAAACACTTGTTTACTTTTACTAGATAAAAGTAAATTGAGTTGTCAAAAAAAAATTCTAAGTTCAAACTTAGGTTAGAAATTTTTAGGTTAAATTGACGTAGATTCGACAACGCTTCGCTCTAGCCAAAATTGAACTCTTCCGGTGTCAAATTTGCGCGGCCTTATATACCCTTTTTGGACAAAGGCTTCTTGGATATCCGAATTTGGTCGCCTCAGTTTGAATCTGGGCTCTCTGATTGGCTGATAAAATGGCGGGAATTATAAATTACACAGGTTAGCCAAAATGATTGATTTTTTTAAAGAAAATAACTATCAACTTTTAAAATATTCGAAATTATTAATAAACTTTAAATTGATTAATTTGATTAAGATTTTGTAATTTTGTAGCTAATTTTTCGTTCTTTTAGATAATCGCGCTTTCGGGTGTCAAATTCCTTCGAGGAATTCGTAATTTGATGTTAAAGTTTGGAAAGAAAAAAATGGAATTTAGATATATAAAATGATTCAGAAATGGATGAAATTGAGGCCTAAGGGCTAAATCGACACGATCTATGGTTTTAGAATCGAAAATCGTCTGAAAAGTCACCAAAATCAATACCTGTCAAAATGTAAATGTCAAGGTCAAAATTTGAAGGTCATAGACTTCAATGAATTACCTTTTTCTTGCACATCGTCCTAATTTTTCTTAAAACTAAACGAAAATCATAACAAAACTAACTACTTATAGTCTAATCCAAAATTGTAAATTTCTTAAATTTAATTAGTCTTTTTTCTGTTTCTTCGGAAACAGGGATTTTATTACAGTACATATTTCAACCCATCATATCTGCGAATGGGAAACTTCTTTTCGTACGTTAATTGTGTTAAAAAAAACTCTGGTACCTTCTGGCACAAAATTTTCTATAAACTTTACCGCCATTTTTTTTAGCGGGCGGTTGCGAAGATGTCGCTCTCTAAAGTGATGGGGTTTGACTTGCATGTTACCAAAACCACACATCAAGAGTGGTTCACATCCAGACAAAAGTTTAAAATACACAATCACCAAATTAAGTACAAACAAAAAGTATACCATCCGAATAGAAAGAAAGCATGACAATACCAGTATTCAAAAAGAGGTGCAAGACAGACCTATGGAATTCTATATTTATTACTATTATCCTTTATTTTACATGGATATCGTACGAAGAATTAAATTTTAGCAGTAGAGTCTCGTTAGAGATTTTATCAATTAAAAACATTCCCAATTTAATAATTTTGCCAAAAGGAAGAAGGTATTTTAAGTTATGTAAAGAAAATTACTCAGTAATTTATTAGGCTAATAAACTATAAGAACGACAAGAAAAATAAAACTCGCGATTACTATCAATTATCTTCATATAAAAACAATTTAATAACACGTTCTTAATGGTACTTATTTCGCATGATCTTGTGTCGTTTAATACTTGCACTTTTATTTTACGATGGAGTGGAATTTTGTCTTTTGCGTCAGCATTGTTGATAGTACCTTTTGATTTAATAGACTGTTTATTATGTTTTGTGGATGGAATATTTACTTTTGCGTCAGAATTAACACACATATTAGGATAAATTTCCTGCCACAGGAACCATTTATCAATTTTATAAAAAGAAACAATTTTACCGCATTTTTTGGATTTGTTAGTTGTTGTTGTTTATTAGTAGCTGTTAATATAATTTTAATATAGTCGGGAAATTAATTATTTGAAATTGATTTATTTTCTTTCTAGATAAAATGGAAAAATTTATTACGTCACCTTTTTAAAAACATCTGTTTACGAAACCTTTATGGTTTCAAATCAGTTTTTACATAATTTGTAAATGTTTTTGATCGGATTGTACACATTCCGCACATAATTAGTGTATTTTAGTTTCGTCCAAAATTTAGTCCAGCATTTTTGTCGAAGTCAAATATCTTTCAAATTAAGAGGTTAATGTCAAAAATTTCTATTTATGTTTCAATGTCTGTACTGTAAAACGATATTTGCGATATTTATTATTACCAACTGATTATAATCAAAACTGATGAAACTTGTAAAATTTCGTAAAACATCCTATTGTTGAGAAGCTTGAAATAGATTTTTTTTCTAATAGATAACAAAATATTCTATCTACTTTTTATCTATCTTTTTTTCATTATTATTTTTTTTATCTATCATCTTTTATAAATGTAAATAAAATTCATTTTTGCACTTTAAATGGATATTTTATTTTTATTTCTCTACCGGTTTCGCCACATAATTATAGCATCATCAGGAGAATACCTATATTAATACAAAACATTTTATATGTTAATCTTAAAACAAGCGCGTTACATTTTTTGAACTATTACATTAACATTTTAAAACAACTCACGTCAATGGTTACAAAAGCTAACTATGATAGAAGTTACTGGGCATTTCTTTATGTATTTTCACCCTTAAATTACACTGAGAATCTTATAAAATTGCGATTAGAGAGGATTAAATTTTATGAAACTTTATTGCGTCATGCACCATGCCGCTAAAGTTGATTCGAGGTTAGGGGTCATATGTTGAATTGGAGAAATTTCATTTTTATTGTTTGATAACATCGTGGATGTTGCTGACCACGTCTTATATAAATTTGAAATAATAGTTATTAAAACTATCTTAAAAAAGGGGGATTGTTTAGAAAGGTGGGGATTTATATGGTTAAGGGTATGATGTAAAAGGATAGGTGTGATGTCCATGGGATCCAGAATATTGTGATAACAAAATGACATCTTGTTTTGAAATCCTCATCTATTCTGGGGGGTTATAATTTGGGTGGGTCGTAATATTGATTCTACAAGTTAAGGTAGGGGGTGTTAAGGGATAAAGGGATGTTAAAGGATAGGTTAGAGAAGGGAGAGGGGTGATGTCCATGGGACCCAGAGTAGTGCGAATTCAAAGTGACATCTTGTTTTGAAATCCTCGTCTCTCTGGGGGGTTTTTTATTGGGTAGAAGACTATTATAGAATCTATATAGACTGTTTGGGGTTGTTTATGGGATGAGGATGAAGTATAAAGGATGGGGGTGATGTCCATGGGACCCAGATTAGTGCGACTTCAAAATGACATCATGTTTTGAAGTCCTCGTCTATCTGGGGGTTTACGGGGTGGGGTGTAAGGTTGTTTTAGGAATGAATAGAGTGGTTTATGTGTTGTCTGGATTTGGTCGTTTAGACATGTTAGATGTGGGTTATTATTTATGAATTTTTTGATTTCCTATCCTTCAAGGATTTCCATGAGATATCCCTTGTTAATTTGATGTAATATTTTTGTGTTTTTATCTTCGTCATATTCGTGGTTGAGGTTAAAGGTTATGTGTTTACCAAAATTAGAGTTATGTTTTATTTTGTGCTCCCTAATTCGTAATTTGAGGGCTCTGCCTATCTCTCCAATGTAGGTTGCATGACAAGTTTCACACTGCAGCTCATACACTCCATTATCATCCAATTTGTTTATTTTGTCTTTGTTGTTTATGAGTAGGTCTATGGTTTTGTTTGGTTAATCTGAAATTACAATATCATATTGTTTCATGGTTTGTTTTATTTTGTTAGTAATATTTACTTGGTGTGTAATGGATCTGTAGTTTTTGATTTTTTGTATCTGCTGATTTTGTAGTTGTGTGGTGTTAATTAAATTCTGTTTATTTTGATACTTGTAGATTAATTTATCTATTATATTTTCTGGAAAAGTATTATTTATGGCAATGTCTTTTATTATCTTAATTTCTTTGTCAAACTTTTCTTTATTCAAATTTGTATTATAGATCCTATAGATGTATGATCTGAATGCTACCATTTTATGGGTGATATTATGAAAAGAATCGTATGGAATAGTAGCGTCAGTCTGAGTGGGTTTTCTATATATTTCGAATTGTATGTCATGGTTTGTTTTGTCTATTGTGATATCAAGAAAATTTATTTTATTGTCGTTTTCGAGTTACATTGTGAATTGAATGTCTGTGTGTAGTGTGTTAATGCATTGGTGTATATCGTCTATAATTTCTATGTAATTTCGTCTATGTAACTTAATGAGGGAGTATAACCTAGGTGTTTTTAACACTATAACTTTTAAAAGTATCTTTAGCCTCATTATTAGGACTCGTTATTAGGACTCGAAAGAGGAACCCTTTGCCGTGGATTACTGCAAATGTAAAGAGGATGATAGCTCTTCGAGAGTCTGCTCTAAGGCGTTATAGGAGAACGAGAAATCATGCACATTTTCAGTATTATAAGCAGTTTCGAAATTTTGTTACGGGTGCTATTCGTCGTGAGAAAAGGGCTTTTATTGAACGAAGTTGTGTGATGGAAGGTCCTAGCTTGATGTGGAGGACTTTGAGAAAATTTAATCTTGTTAGGTCGAATATCACTGATTTACCCCCCATCTGGCTGACCTTGATAGTGTCAACTTCTTTTTTTCTAAATCTCTTGCTGATGTTGTTATTAAGCCTGACTCGGAGTAATTAACTTTCTATCATACCAGCCAATTAAGTCCTGACTGTACTCCTTTTACCTTCAAGAAAGTGTCTGTGGATTCTATTGAGCGGTATTTGCTTTTGTTGAAGTCTACTAGTGTTGATGTTTCTCTAGATACGGTTAGGTTGTGTGGCCTCGTATTTTGAATGTTCTCTGTCATATTTTCAACTTTTGTCTGATAATGTCGGTTTATCCTAAGGCATGGAAATGTGGTCTGGTGACTCCTGTTCCTAAAATGAAACCAGTTAAAGAGCTTAAAGATTTGAGGCCTATTACTATTCTTCCTGTTTTGTCTAAAATATTAGAGAAAATTATGGCGGAGCAACTAAGATCCTTTTTAGATACTTATAATATACTACCAGATAAACAATCTAGTTTTAGGAGTCAGTATAGCTGTGCCACAGCGCTTCTTGATTTGACTGATGATATATATAGAGCTCTTGATGCTGATAGATCTACTGTGTTTCTGTTGCTTGACTTTAGTAAGGCATTTGATATCTTGAATCACGACCTTTTATTAGCTATTCTTAAATTTGTTGGTTTGTCTGAGTGTGCCGTTTCTTTGTTTAAGAGTTATCTGTTTGATAGAATGCAGGCGGTTAGGTCTAGATTTCCTGCCTGGTGAGCGATCGGATGCTTGTGATAAAGTAACGGAGGATTTAAATCACTTATGTATGGAAATTAAGAGACATGCTCTTTTGATCAACCCTGACAAGACTCAATGTATTTTATTTACTAAAAAGGGTAGTTTATTTGTTAATAAGGATGATATTAATATTAGGATGCTTGGAGTGCAGTTAGGACTGACCAATTCGGTTAAGAGTTTAGGTCTTATTATTGATGATCAACTTGCGTTTGATGAGCATATTAATTTATTATGTAGGCGTGCTTATGGTTCCCTAAGAAGGCTCTACTGTAGTAAGATGTTTTTATCGCAGGGTTTGAAACGACTCCTTTGTGATTCTCTTGTATTGTCTCACTTCAGGTTGTGCAGAATTCGTGTCTTCGTTTTATGTATAATCTTCGAAGAGATGATCATGTATCGCAAGTTTTGTTATCTAGTGACTGGCTGAATATGCGACAGAGGGTTGTGGTTCACTACTTGTCTTTCATCTACGGTCTTATTACATCCGGCAAGCCGCCTTATCTGAGTCGTAAAATTACGTTCAGGACGGATGTTCATAACTTGAATCTCCGGCACAGATTTTGTTTAAACATTCCTTCGCATAGGTCTTCAAAATTCAAGTGTTCATTTTCGTACCAGTTTGTTCGTTTTTGGAATTTGATTCCTGGTTATGCGAGGTGTGCTGGCTCGGCTCGTGCGTTCAAACTCATTGTTTTACGCGAGAGGGTGTTTGATATATTTTTGTAATGCGCAATTTTATTTTTGTTCTGTTTAATTGGAATGTTTCTTTTTATTTTATTTTGTTTAATTATTTTTTCATTATAACAGTTTATATATTATTTACTTTAGTTATTTTTATAACGGTTATTACTGCGGTCTTTCGATATTTGCCGACCTTATAGGGTGCAAGTTAAATCAGTGGCACTTTTGCCTTTTCTGCTCTTGCACCCATTGAGCTTGAATTGTGAATTGTATATTTCTTGGTTTATTCTTATTTTGTTGTCTATTTGGCTCAATAAAGTATTATTATTATTAATAGCTTTTTTAACATTTTAGTGAAAATTATTAGTGGGATTTTTCATATCTTAACAAAGGTACTAAATACTCCATAGTAGACTCTAATTTTGGTAAACACATAACTTTTAACCTCAACCACGAATATGACGAAGATAAAAACACAAAAATATTACATCACATTAACAAGGGATATCTCATGGAAATCCTTGAAGGATACGAAATCAGAAAATTCATAAATCTAACATAAAATAATAACCCAGATCTAACATGTTTAAACAACCAAATCCAGACAACACATAAACCACTCTATTCATTCCTAAAACAACCTTACACCCCACCCCGTAAACCTCCAGATAGACGAGGACTTCAAAACATGATGTCGTTTTGAAGTCGCACTAATCTGGGTCCCATGGACATCACCCCCATCCTTTATACCTTATCCTCATTCCATAAACAACCACAAACAGTCTATATAGATTCTATAATAGTCTTCTACCCAATAAAAAAACCCCCAGAGAGACGAGGATTTCCAAACAAGATGTCACTTTGAAATCGCACTACTCTGGGTCCCAAGGACATCACCCCTATCCCTTCTCTAACCTATCCTTTAACATCCCTTTATCCCTTAACACCCCCTACCTTAACTTGTAGAGTCAATATTACGACACGCCCAAATTATAACCCCCCAGAATAGACGAGGATTTCAAAACAATATGTCATTTTGTTATCACAATATTCTACCCTTAACCATATAAATCTCCACCTTTCTAAACAATCCCTCTTTTTTAAGATAGTTTTAATAACTATTTTATTATTTCAAATTTAAATAAGACGTCAGCAACATCCACGATGTTACCAGACATTAAAAACGAAATTTCCCCAAATCATCAAATGAACTTTAGCGGCAAGGTGCATGACGCAATAAAGTTTCATAAAATTTAATCCTCTTTAATCGCAATTTTATAAGATGCTCAGCGTAATTTAAGGGTGAAAATACATAAAGAAATGCCCAGTAACTTCTATCATAGGATGCTTTTGTAACCATTGACGTAAGTTGTTTTAAAATGTTAATGTAATAGTTCAAAAAATGTAACGCGCTTGTTTTAAGATTAACATATAAAATGTTTTGTATTAATATAGGTATTCTCCTGATGATGCTATAATTATGTGGCGAAACCGGTAGAGAAATAAAAATAAAATATCCATTTAAAGTGCAAAAACGAATTTTATTTACATCATACATAAAATGGAAAGAAAAACATTAAATAATATCTTTTATAAAGACTAAATTTGACGTCGCGGTCACTTAAATTCTGAAAAGGAAAAAGGAAACATCCAAACTGTGTGATAAATAAATAACACTCAAAATTTACCATTTACCTAAATTTATTTTGAATAAAAATTAAAAAAAAATATTCCATTAATTATTCATAGTAACTAATCGTTGTGATTATAACCATCATTATCAGCACCATTCAACTCTTTTTTCTTTCCATCATCTTCGTCTTCATCATCTCTCACAACATAAGTATAACGATACGCCATAAAAGCAAATAGAGCCATATCAACAATCATCAACGAAGCGTATAAGAAAAATGCTGAGGACTAAAACCAAATTTATTAAAAATTAATTTGTGTATTAATTTCCAGAAATTACCTCATCATCAAAAGATTGTAATGCTTCAATAATAACAACTATAAGATTTCCGAAAGCTGTTGTTAATAACCATCCAGCTTGAACGACCGATTTCATACTTTTCGGTGCTTGATTGTACGCAAATTCCAAACCTGTGATGGAGTACATAATTTCTCCCATAGTAATGATGATGTATTGTGGTAGTTGCCATAACATATGGACTTTATTGGGTTCCGTTATTTCGATGATATCTATATTCTAAACGTAGTTACAAAAATTAAGAAAAATTAGTTATTCGCAATAAATTAACAAATTGAAATTATAATACATGTTCTTGAAATACCAAAACGGGATATGTATCACAATTTAAGGTCGACGAAATAAGTGGTATACATATTGCTCCGATCACCTTAAACACCACAAATAAGGTGAAGGTTAAGCGATTTTAAATCAACGACCTCGTTCAAAAATGCAAAGTGGAACAAGAAAAATTTAAAAATCATATTAAACGAAAAACTGTACTGTTATATATTAAGAAAAATGTATACGAATATGCCCCATTATGTGCCTTCTAAGGTAGCTGCAGTCTGTGAAATTACACGATCTCTTATTATATATCAAAGGGTACTTGAGTGTTTATTGTTAAGGAGAGATTACTATAAGCAGCTATGCAACCTTATTAATGCAGTTATTAATGGCAAAACAAGGAAACAGTGCTACTATCTTTGTGATGTCACAGATTAGAATGGAACTAAAAAATGGCCTTCACTTGTATTTCACAAAAGAATGTGGTATTAGAAGGGTTAATCATCAAGTAGTGTGATGTAGTTTGTGAAAGTATGGTAAAAAATTTGCATTACTTTGGAAACTATAGCGTATGAAATGTATACTTTTCCACGCAGTGTAAATAGAACACTGTAGGTACCAGCGATTTTCTTTATAGTTTTCACATAAACTTTAAAAAGCGAGTTTTCGTCCATTCTGTTATATTTATACAAATCTTAGTATTGTTGCAAAATTAATAACATCATTATAATCTAAATATTGTTGCAAAATTATCGCAAGAAAGTATGAACTGACAAGGTACTATGGCTTTGCTATCCAAAGATATTCTGAGTCTGTGGAAGATATGAACAAAGAAATTTAGGCAGAGTACTATCACAAAAGTTTCACAGTATTTTGAAAAAAAATGAAATAAAAACACATCTTATAGATCATCAATATGTGTACTAATGTGTAGAAGATACCCCGGTTCAAATAACTGTAAACTATTTTCCGTAAAAAATTAATAAAGTTATCTAAAAAATCGGGATTCTAGACCGGAATCCCCCCTTAACAAAAATCGCAATGAAATACGAAATAAACAAATCGTGTTGTTTTGTTGAATACATTTTAATTGGCAAACATGATTTTGATGATTAACAATGTTGAAATTTTCAGAGGTAAAATTACATTGAAACATTTAAAGACAAATAATTCGGAAACTGATTGCTTTGAGCAGAATAAACAACCTTTCTTCGTAAAATTCATGTTCATGAAGGTGTACGACTTTTAAAGGTCGTAATTCATTGACAAAAAAGTATGGGTGGTTACAGCACTGTAGTAAATAAAGCCCTTATTGCGACTTCTACGACTATTCACAGAAAAGACTATGTAAAAGTCTTTTCTGTTTACACCTTAAAAGTTATTAAGAAATTGAAGACCAAAAACAACATTAACCATGCGACATATTTCATTGCCTCAGTTTTGAGGTTTCCGTTAATTTTCCTATACATGACCAATGTAATAAACGAATAATTAAATTTAATTAAAGTTCTACATGATTTTGCACGGAATGTTTGGGTATAGAACCCAAATGATGGTATCATTGTTATCATATTTAAAAAAATAATTTAACAACGATTATTTAGAAAAGTACGGTTAAAATACAACTTAAAATTATATAAAAAATATACTTACAAATAAGGTATTGTTATCTGAATAAGCTAGAATGGCATAAACTCCACCGAGTTTCGAGTCCAAATATTTTTCCGAATTTCCAACCCATACATATAGATCACCAGGACTAAATTCATATTGTTCGTTATCACCAATATCGCTCGTTTGGTGAAGATGGCGAATTTTGTTGTAATATCTAACGTTTAGATTGCTTATATCATTATTCATTGTGTTAACTAATGTCCTATAAAAAAGAAAGTAGTTTAATATAGTTATTGCAAATCTTAGAGTAAAAGTGTAAATATAATAAAACCGTATAGAATCATATTTTTTTTATTACAAAATCATGCGATAACATTAAATTTATCTAAACTTCTTTTAGTATCATGGAAAGCAATCAGTTGTAATCGCTTTGATTTCTTATTAATTGGAATTTGATGAATTGCTTAATTTACTTGTTTTGATTCAAATTAGTTGTAAGAGGAAAAAAATTTTTAAATACTCAATTATTACCACTCAACAAATTACCAATTCCCATCGTAAAATCATTTTTAACATCTGTGTAATCACAGTTTTGTATAAATAATTTCGTGTTTAGTATGACGTTATAATTGCTAGCAACGATATAACCGATAAAAATTCCGACTTTAATTCGTGGTCAAAGTAATTGTGAATACTTTTGTTGAATTGCCTGCTTTAACGTATTTCGCAACCTTGTTTTTTATTTAAATGCTGTAATTTAAGGAATGATTCGAAGTGATTTATGTTAGAGAAAGTAAAGGTTGGTACTAAGAAGAGGGAGAGAAAAAGGAGGGAGACGTGACAGTTAGAGAAAGAAGTTCTTGTTATAAGTTTTGTATGTGTATTCAGTTAAATATTAAATAAAGTAATAATACGAAAAGTGGAGTTATTTTAAATAACCTTTAATAATTTAAAGATTAGAGAGATAAACTCAATTTTGAAAACTTATAAAAGAATAATCGAACATAATAACATTGTAGGAAATCAACTTAGCACTGCTTGATTTATCCAATCTAACTGATTTAACCAACGTAATAACTTATTCTTGGACTATTTCAGCTACCTCTTTAAACGCAATTTTAAGTAACCTCGACTTTTTGAAAGTTTGCAATAGCCTCACTGGCTTTTCAGTTTGGTATTTTTCCTGAGATAGAAATGTAATCGATATGTTGAGAAATAGTAAATCACTGTTCGTTTTGGTCTAAATGATGATAAAGCATGTTTCTAATCTGTTAATTACTCCGTTAATTAAGTTACTAAACCACTGTCCGGGTACTAAATCGCTGTGTCCGGGAATAGCTTGTAACAGGTCAATATCAAGAAACTAACTAGTCTTAACTATTAGACTGATAATATATATGGATATACCGGGTGTTTCATTTAAAATGACATATGCTTATATCTCAAAAACAAAAACTCGAATCGAAAAAGTTTCAAGTAAACATTTTTTGGTGAGGTGAAGGGGGACACATTGTACACATGAACAGATTTTTTTTCAGGGTTGCCTAAAGGCCCTCCTGACGTAATTTTTCTTTCAAAGTCTTAAAGAACTTGACAAAATCGTCATAACGTGCACTACTGATCACATGAAAATCCTCGTTGGCTAAGACAAGTTGATCATCAAAAACCTTGGTCAGTTAATGTCTAGCGTGGCATTGTTGGCAATAAAATAATTGGACCTTTTTTATTGATGGCAATTTGAATGGCAGAAAGTATCGGAATTTTTTGTTGAACGATTTACCGGTTTTGTTGGAAGACCTTACTCTGGAACGAAGACTTGCGCTATGGTATCAGCATGATGGATGTCCATCTCATTATGCTCTAGCCGCAAGAGAAGTTTTAGACGAAATGTGTCCTGAAAAATGGATAACACGAAATGGACCGGTGAATTGGCCAGCTAGATCACCCGATTTAACTTCTCCCGATTTTTTTTTTGGGGTTACCTCAAAGAGAAAGTTTACAACCAGGTTCTAACAACACCAAACGATATGAAAAATCGTATGAGAGCAGCTTGCGAATCAATAACTGAAGAAATGCTTGGCAATGTGCAGAGAACGTTTTCAATGAGAATTCAGAAATGTTTAGAAGTGAATGGTCATCATTTTGAGCATTTAATCGATGTATAAAGGTAACTTTATAAATTTTAATCAATGTTCTAAGGTGATTTCAAAAATTAAGAAGAATTTTAGTACTATTTTACGATTAATTAAATCGTTTTTTTATTAATAAAATTTTTTTAAATACATTTTGAAAAATGTTGTGTTATTTTTCTTTTTGTAGATATCTTCATAACGCAGAATTTAAGAAAAAAAATTTTTAAGCAAAAAATGCTTAGGTTGTCAAGTTGTTCAAGACGTTGAATGAAAAAAGTATATGTCCGATTTGAAAAAATTAAAATGATGTCAGAAGGGCCTTTAGGCAACCCTGAAAAAAATCTGCTCATGTGTACCCTGTGCCCCCCTTTTCACCAAAAAAAGTTTACTTGAAACTTTCTTTCGATTCGAGTTTTGGTTTTCGAGATATAAGCATATGTTATTTTAAATGAAACACCCTGTATATTATATTGGTTGTATTGTCAAAATCTTTGAATATTTGCTTAAAAATTAATTATTTCTGTCTATTTTTATCAAAAAATTGAATATGCAATAGTCACTCCGGTTTTCGGTGTTTAAACATAAGTAACGCCACCAAAATCGACTTGGTAGTTTTTAAAATATTCCTAAAAACTAGGAGTTTGAACGTTTGAACAAAGAAATTTAGGCAGAGTACTATCATAAAACTTTCACAGATCGAAAGCCACAACAAATTCACATCAAAACTATTCTGAAGGCAGATGAAATCTCATTTCTCAAAATAAGTTGTTCGAACGTTGCTTAGATGCAAAATCACAGAATAATAATGAGTGGTTAAACCCGGTAATTTAGAATTTCTCTCTGAAACGTTTACAATACAAAACTTTTAATAACGGATTTATACTAATTTTCAAGATTATGTATGTGACGGAAGTAATAATTAGCCAACAAGCAGAATTACAAACGCACAGCCACAATGAGATCTGCATTAGGCGAGCAAGAATACGTTCGCCCAATTTCGCAAGAAATCCAAACAACGTATTAAAGAGACGAAAGGCCAAACTTGCATAATATGTACAACCTATTGTCCAGAAATAGCAAATTAACTGTAAATACGTGCATTACAAAGTTTATTATAATAATAATAATAATAAAGGCCTTTATGGTATATGTTGATATATTAATAGAAAACTCTTCGAAAATGAGTATTAGTTTGCGTATATATCCTTATTACTCACCACTGCCCCACAGAGGAACAAGAGGAGGATGTCAAAGAAATGGTAAAACCTACCATTTCTTAAAGGAAGTTTATGATGTGACATCAAAATAATCCTGGAAGATATGAATGCCAAACTGGAAAAGAGGTGCAGTTTACATGTACGATTCATTGCTTGAAGAAAGGTATGTGAATGGAGAATTTCACATAATTTTCAATGGAGAATGAATAAAGGGGATATCTAGGAGAATATCGAAAAATAATGTAATCTATAGATTTATAAAAATAACACAAGTTTATATAGAAACGAACAAGGTCAAATAGTCAACAGAAATATAATATATTTCTGAGGAGAGAATCGAAATTGAAACACTGCAAGATAAAGGTAGGACCCGGAGAAAGAAAATACAGAACTTTCAACAATACAACAAATTAGAAAAGCAAGAAATACTCAAACAATAACAAACCAACAGGCGTTGATGAAATACCTTCACAAATATATGCCGGTTGAAAAGTTTTTATCCATGGGGTTGGAACTGAGGTCGGATGGAACGGAAAACAAATCCTACATCGCACATACCAACATCAAAAAACATCCATCGTAACGAAAATCTTGGAGTGTATAAGACAATTATAAGACTTATTATAAGTTACGAATGACGTAAAGCACAAGAAATAAATTAAGAATATTTGAATGGAAAGTATTAAGTAGAATAGTGAAGTCGATCAAAGAAATCAAGATATAACAACGAATTGTATCAAATCGTCGGAGAAGCATCCCTTCGCACAGTTCGTCAGACTTCAAATACTGCAATGGGGTGGACATGTTAGCAGGAGAAAAGAAAAGAGATTACCAAACAGAACTCTTAATGCTTGCTTCATGATTTCCCTAAAAATTTTGCGCAACAAATTCAACTTTTCTTCGAATATGTTATCTTTCAACAATTCCCTGATGTGACGTCCGACGAAAATTTCTTCATTTATTTTTGCGTCACTAACTTTAGGACATTTTTCTTCCAAGTAAAACCTGAACGGTTTTGGTTCATGGCTTTGACAATTTTTTTTATTAAACCTACTGTTTTATGTAAAGGTGGTAAAAGTACTCTGGTGGGCTCGACAAGGGTGTGTAAAACAGTTCGTTCTCTCTCACGCTTTGGCCAGTCTTTCTTGCGTAAATAATTGTTTCGATATTTGCTGCCTCACTCATATAGAAAGTAACAAAACTTTTTAAAACACAGTTGCAATCTTAGAAGTAAAGCTATGACTTTTAAGACACCGCATAGTTTAAATGAAAATGTGTTATACTGGATATTTTCTAGCACCAAGTTCATGTTTTCGTAAGTTTCTTTCATACTGAAAGCATGTGCTACCGGAATAGAGGGAAATCTATTTCCAGTATGTGATAGTACTGCTTTTAAACTGGTTTTTGATGACTCTATAATCAAACGACAATCTTGTATTTCAAATTTAATATCTATCAAGTTCATAGCCGAAGTCATATCATTGCAATAAATAAATTTTTTTGTTGTGCAAAATATTTTGTTAGTTCTTCGCTACGGCTAGAAAAACGACACACCTTAGTATCTGGATGAAGCAAATTCCATTCTTTCAATCTAGCTCCAAATAGTTCAGACTGCTTTTTTGATAATTTTAAGTCACGAACCAGACCGTTCAGATCAGCTTGAATTAGTAAATGAGATTCCTTACTATCAGATACATAGGTTGGATCATGAATTTCATCTGCAATTACTCTATATGAAGGCAAATTGATGGCATCATTTGCAGTGTCATTTGTCTGATCTGGCACTGTAGGTATAGGTAAATCAGCACTATGAGGAAGTGGTCGTGTTGTAGAGCGTACATTTTCATATTTCACATGTTTAGCGCCATATTTATACCTTTATTAGTCAGGCAAAAGTAGCAATCAAAAACGTGGTCTACAGACTCTGTCCAAATCATGGATTTTCCGAAAGCCATATATTGCGTTTCTTTTGCCCAAGCTGCAAGGTTCTTTACGCATGTCGTACAGCATGCTGTGTAATCGATATCTTGAGAGAAGCCAAAATAATCACGATACAACTGCTATACCTGTTCAATAAAATTTCGTCGTTGACATTTAAAAGTTGCTTCACAACATACGTAGCAAAAACTGTTAGGATGATTGATACACTGCCTGCGCATATTGGGAAACTAACAACGATTAGCTTATGTTATGCTAAACTCACAATTAAGCATTGTTTTGAATGAAAAGTTGATGCAATTCGACATACGTACAGTAGTAGGTATTAGCGGAAAATACAGCTAAATCATGAGTGGATGTCATAACAAATCTGTGGGTGACAGAATCAAAATAATTTGTGTTTTGTATTGAGGGTATGTAGTAAAGTAATAATTAGCATTCAGAATCCATGTGGCAAAAACCTTGTCGATCAATGTAATTGGAATCTCATGGGTATTGTCACTATTGAAAAGTATCTGTAATATTTCTACAGACGGATTTAGTCCAAAAGTTAATATAGAGCTATCAATTCAAAACGCTAAAAGAAATGAAGTTTGGTCGAAGGCTGGTTTGGCTCGTTTGGTTGAAGTTACTTCGTATAATCTAGAAAGTAAATATTTGCAAAATTCCTGAATCGCGGTGTACAAAAAAAACAAGCTCATATTTGCTTTTTTCACAATCTTTTTGATCAATATCAAACAAGAAACTAAAACACTTACCTAAATCTTGGATATCCATTATTAACATTTTTCTCATTACTGTCAATAAACTCTGTAAAATTATGCGGATTTTGAAAGTAATACCCAACTGCTTCATTTTCCCGAACCGAAAAAGTTCCCTTGTCACTATAGTCATCGCATGTATAACTGTAGCTGTATTCGATTTCCTTGGTGATTTTAAAATCTGTGTTTTCATAAAATTTATTTGATTCTATTTCAACAATTCCCATCGGCGAATTTGTTGAAAATGTTAAAGTACATGGCATGTTGTTATAGATTCTAATATGACCAATTCCATCCGTGGGTTGTACAGGCATTTCATTCTCCAATGCCAGCGAAATTGATGCTGATACGAAAAATGCAACGGCGGCCAATAAACCACCGGCGACGAGTCTTTGTAGCGGTGTTTTTAAAACGCCGAATTTATTGAAAAGCGGATAGATCAAGTATTGAAAGACTGGGATAAATATCAAAATGAGTAAAGGATTGACGACTTGCATCTGATCTGGAAGGATGTTGTAAAAACCGATGTCGCCGGTCATCATTCGTGCTTGGAACGTCCAACCACTTCCTTGTTGTTCAAAAAGTGCCCAAAAAACTGGAAGAGGAAGATAAAGGAACAAAACTTTTAGTAAATCTTTTACGTCATTAACTAATTTTGTTCCGTGTTTTGCTTCAGCGTAATCTAACCAATGTTCTTTGCTTCCACTAGATTTTCTTTTTTCGCTTATTGCACTCTAAAAATTATAAAAATATTTAAGAATTTTGACAAAAATATTAACAATTTAAATTTAACTTACCCCAATACATTTTGATACTTTAATAACCATGTTACCTTCGGGTTTTCTTATAATATATGACGGTTTACCAATTACAAATATTACTAAAAAATTATTATGTGCATAACCAAATCCTTTAAGGATTTTTAAAACTTACCTAGAGAAATCAACATTAAACCAGCTGGTAAACCAAAAGATCCAGTAAAACAAGTATCGTCGTTAAAACAAGACGATTCTCTAACCAAAGGGGTAATTATAGTTGACAATAAACTTCCGGCGTTAATTGCAAAATAAAATAAGGAGAAGAATTTAGCTAAATGGAGAGCTTGCTCTGGTAATTTAAATTGATCCCCTCCAAAAGCGGCAACGCACGGCTTTATACCACCGGTACCCACAGCAATAAGAAATAGACCTATCAAAGAAAATACTTCGGTATCCATATCGACCGGTGGAGCTGCCGCCAAAGATAAGACAACATTTCCTATGGCGTAGACAATAGATAACCAGAAAATTGTGTAGAATTTTCCTAACCAACTATCCGCGATCATAGCTCCAAACACAGGAAAGAAATAAACCATAAAAGCAAAGGTGTGGTAAATGATTTTTGCATCGGATTTGCTGTAGAGGATAATATCCGTCAGGTATATACTAAGAACAGCTAAAAATAAAAAAAAGGAAAATGTTTAGATTTAAATGGACAAAAAGGCGTTTCTAATTTTTACCTCGCATGCCATAGTAACTGAATCTTTCGCAAAATTCATTTCCAACTATGAAAAATACGGATTTAGGATACTTTTGTTTCTGTAACAATTAATTATTAAAATACTTTATTAATGCTCTCATAGCAGTTGGTATAATAGATATCAAAATGAATGAAATACGCCGAATATTTACATAAACTTTTGTGTGACATTGTAAATACATCGATTCCGCTCAATTGCAACACATCGAGATCGAGACATTTTGTATATTTTAAAGTAAAATAATAGTGCCTTAGGATTACACTAGGTTACAGCGCGACATTGATGCACTACGTCTTTATTGCAGCTCAAATTTCATGACACCGAACCTTGAAATGTTATTTCTTTTACAAGGAAGATGACTACGATCAGATACGATTACAGCATGGGTGACAAGAGTGACTCAGGTCAGGGGCCTAGGTGTCACATTTGATGTCAAAGTAATGTTTGAGGGCCACGTTGACGGAGTTGCTGCAAAGGTTTAGCGCATACTTGACTTTGTTATGAGGGTCACACGAAATTTTACAAGTGTTTATGCAACAAGAACTCTGTATTTTGCGTATGTACTTATGTACATAGCGTTTTAAGTTTCTCCAGCTCCGTTTGGAATCCCTAATATGAAATACCTACATATTAAAGAAATTCGTAAAACATCTCCTTCAACTTCGAGCTATCGTCATGAGCCGAAACACGTAGAGTTTAAAAAATACGAATCCAATGATTGCTCACAACCAGTAAACAAACATTTTAGGCATAGGACATTTTACATAAAGTTGATCCAAAATTTTTCATAAAATTCAAAAATTAATTCATATGTTAGGGTTGCCAATTGAAAAAATTGACTTTAAGGGCTTCTCTTAACTTCAACTTTGATATAATTTGAACACCCTGTATAGCATTTCAAAGAACCTTACTGCTGCTTACTAATTTTCCGATAATAGATAACCACCACAACATTCCCAACACCAAATTTTTCTTTCCGGCGGTCAGAGTAGATGATTTATAAATTATTGAAAGTAATGTTGTAGCTGACATTTTTGATTTAAAAAAATGAATATCTCAAAAATGACTTATTATAGGTATAGGGTATGTAACATACCAGTGCCCTAAAATTGAAGAAGATTTCAAAACCGTAATAAAATATAGGGTGTTCCATTTGAAATATGAAAATTGTTACCACTTCCGATGTAACCACAAGTACGCGGAACCTCAAAATAGTTTAGTTAAAAAACTCGCATCAAACATCATAAGTCCGCAAATTTTCAAACCCCCACTTCATTTGGTTCGTAATATAGTTCTAATGGACGATCGTCGTGGATGACCCTGTATAAGTACGTACATAATAATGCGTACTTATAATAAATAAACAATTTATCAACTTTTAAAAAAAGACATAGATACCTATATTTTCTAAATATTTTCTTTATAAGTTCAAATTAAATAAATACTATAAAATATTATCACATAGATATTATAAATCTGTGAGCCCAACTACAAGAAACACATTGGGTTGTTTTAACTCAAGATCTCACAAACTTCACAAGAAGGATATGAAATAAAACAAAACGACTCTCACCTTTTTCCAGACCAGCTTGAAATTAGGTATATTATGATTTTGGCTTTTTAAAAGACTAAACAACCCTCAAAAATTGGATTAGAACAACGTTCTGAAACTGTTGTCAAACTTGGCTAATTTAGACGATTGGGAGTTTGTCAGATCATAAATAAAACTAAAATTTTAATTTTCAAACCCAGAAAATTATAGTTATTAATTTATTTTTATTTGTTGCTTATTTGCTATAAAAAATAAAATGATGCAGACGATATACAGATAAAAAATAATTTAAATTACCACTTTTCTGGACTGGCAAATCAATCCAGTTCTGGTTGAATTTTTAATTTCAAGGATACATTTTAGTAAAACTAAATACAATCCCGTTAATCAGTTAGTGAAGAGAAAAGACTAGATGATTTGCTGTCAGGATATGAAATAGATCAAAAGCCCTCTAAATTTTATCGAGAAATGTTGGCTACAGTTGGAGGTAGCTAAGTGGTTAGTCATGAGTTGCTCTTGAAGTTATAGGGACGTAGAGTTCCTCAAACAATCTCAGTAGCATTACTAGCATGCGAAAAGGATAATGTTAACAATTTGCTAAACATGGCATACAAAATATGGGAATTTATAATTCTTCTTCCATCTCTTTCAATATAAGATCTCGTAAATTAATAAATAAAATAGTTCTACTTCAGATCCCTTACTCATCGATAAAAATGTAAACTCTGATAATGTTAACGAAATTGTCAAGACATTGTCAGAATTTACGTTATAGTGTCAGACAATTTCGCAAATGATCAGTCAACAGTAAGCAATGATGGAGACTAGCATTAATTCTTGTCAATCACAAATGATTACTAAAAGTTGTCAACCTAACCAGAAATTTTGTTCTAAATCCAGAAATCAATATGAGTCTAAATCAAGTTCTAATTCTAGAAATCGCTGCTTGTCACTATCCTCTCCACCAAAGCTGTATTTTTATCACAAGAAGTACGGACAACTTTGAAATGTTCTGTTAACTGCAGAGACATTATTATTTGTTTTAGTACTAAAATCAATGTTGTGTGTCTTATTTTCATTCTTTCATTATGATGAAACCTTTTGACTGAGACCTTCATTTTCGTGTAGTTCAACTGTACTAGATATATTAATCAATGTTGTGTCATCTGCATACATTATCGTTTTACACATGTTCAGAGTTTCCGGAAGATCGTTCACATATAAAAGGAATAAAATTGGACCCAAGATGGATATCTGCGGTACACCGATTTCCACCCTTCTTATGCTCGATCTATTATTACCAACTTGGACCATCTGTCTTCGATTTTCTAGGTACGATTGAAACACTGTTATCGTGGGGTATCTGACGCCATAATATTCCACTTTCTCCAACAATATCTTATGATTGACACAATCAAATGCCTTTGTAAGGTCCAACATTAGTGCCGAATTTCTTTTTGACTCATTAAAACCATCAATGATTTGTTCATGTAGATTAATTAGAGCTTTAGTTGTGGAGGATTTCCTTACATAGCCATATTGATGCTTACTGAAAACATCTTCCTTGTACGAATAGTCAAGAAGACGCGATTTCAACAGGTGCTCAAAAAGTTTTGACATCATTGGTAAGATAGCTATTGGCCGAAAATTGTTAGGATCGTTTACATCACCTTTCTTGTATATGAGAGATATTCTCGCAATTTTTAGCTCATTAGGGAAAATGAACTGTTGAAAACATTTGTTAATAACAATATTTAATGGTTCAACAATGATGTAAGCAATAAATTTTAAAATGCTCGTTGACATACCATAATAATCTTCTGAGTGACTAATATTGAGTTGCATTATAGTATTAAATATCTCTAATTTATTCGTAGAAAACAGTACAGACGAGTTAACATTCGATTTTACACAGTTCATGTAATCACTGGGGCTATTTGGACCATCACTCATCAATGATGATGCAATTTCCAACGGTGTATGCGTGAAAAAGATGCTCAATTCTTCTGCGTTTACATCAGATTTTATTTTTTGTTTTGAACATAAGTTTATGTATCCCTTGATTACCTGCCAGGCAGCTTTAGACTTATTTCTCGCATTCATATTGTAGTTTGTATTATACTTTTGTTTAGTTTTCATTAATTCATGCCTGTATTCAGTTCTATACTTTTGATAGATATCATATGATTCAGTTGTTTTTGTTGCTTTAGCAATTGTATCAAGTATATCCAGTTTTTCATAGAATGTAGCCTTTTGTTAAACCACGGTAGTGACCTAGATGGATCCGCCTGTTGTTGTAAAGGAAAGCATTCATTAAATAAGTAGGAGTAATTATTTAATGCTAGTAGATTAAGTTTATCTTTTCTTAACCAATGTTCACTTACACATACAATTTTTATATCATGTTGTTGTAATACAATTTCTAAGCTATCTATCTTTTTTTCAATACTTTACATGTTTATACATAAAACATTGTGGCGTGTTATGTCTCTTGAGTTCATTTCTGAATTTTCCAGAAAAAATGACTAATTAATGTACCAATTGGCCAAATCATTGGATTTTTTAATTGATCAACCAAATTAAATGGAACGCCCACCTTAAAGGAGCTATATATGTCGGATCTCTTCGACTTCATTAAGTCACATTTGACGTCGTTAAATCCTTTTTCATTTAGGTATCGAGTAATATCATGTACCGAAGTGTCCTTATTTAATTTTAAAATATATAAATAACAGTACTTGATTATAGCTTTCAAATTTGATGTTTCAGCAGAATCATGTACAAGTCTATTTTTTTGTGTTTTTACTCCTTTTTCGTACCACTGTTTGAAAATTATCGTCTTCTGTCTTCTCGTCCTGTATGGGATCAGCTATTGTAGGTGTCGCTTTATTGCATGTGCATATGTATTACGAGATAGCGTAGAATTTACATTTCTCGGGCCTTTCTCAATATTAGTATCTTTTAAAATTATTATTATTTTATCTGTTTTTTCTTGACTCGGTTGTTTTTTTTAATGGTGTCGTATTAGGTGGCAGTATTTGTATCTTTATGTTCTTTAAATTAATATGAGGATGTGCCGTACAATTGTCGAGAAGGAATACAATTTTTCTTTCTTTATTTTCAAATCCCTTTTCGGACGGCAAAAGGCAACTTCGAAAAATTTGAAAGTCATCCACGCGGCATTCTATAGCCCTTAAAACACCGAAGTTTGTTACTTTTTACTATAACGACCAATTCTCGTATATCAGTCCAAAACATATTGGCGTAGCATAGAATAGTAATCCGGTTCAGTACCTTTTTGTATCCAGACAGTGCAAAATTCGAATAACAGAAGGATCTGCCTGGTGTATCTCGATAATAAAGGTCGGTTTCGTCAGCATTATAGACGTTGCCTACACAGAAAATTTGGAATTTTTGTGTGTTATCAATTTTAGTGCTTTCACTATTTAGCACTATGCACCTTGTCTTCAAATCACGTATTTAGCGCTTTGCACCGTGTGAATCGTGTCCTCTCTTCTGTTCTTCCGTTCTGACTTTGTGTTTTGCTTTCCATCAAGATAACCATCCATCTGTTGCTTTAAATTCTTTATGTTCTAGTTTTTCCGCAATCTCTTCTGATGCATTTTTCAATACTGCACCGGTAACAATTACTCGTCCACTAACTACGAAAAACCATTTATCCAACGCTTCTTCAACTTCTGGATCTTTTCGATCACGATTTCGCCAGACAGGCGTTTTCTTAGACAATTTCGTTGTCCCGAAAAAAATAACGACATGTAGACGAACGGCAGATGGGCGCATCACTTAAGCGATGGAAAGTGACATTGTTACATAAAGGTCATAAAAATACGATCGCTGATGTCAATACATATTGTACCATGTCTGCTAAATTACAATCGGTTTTTATTGCATCGCACGAGACGACGGCCCAACGAAACGGACAACGACCAACAAGAAATCATTTCGAGGGATATTGTTCGTCCCGATTAAGCGGAAAGCTGTCTTAAGTAGGCGATTAAACTATACATTAATTAGAAAGTTTGGTTTCCGTTCTTTGAAATTTATTCCAAATTAACAGCCGGTGTCTCAATTATGCGGAATCGTCTGTACTAATAAAAATATTCAAGCTCATAATGTTTATTAATATTTTACTTACTTTGACGAGGGATTCATTGTCATCCTGGGAATCTACAAAAAATAGTATTTAATTTAATCATGTATGTGTACTAAATAATTAAAAAGATATGGGATTCACATATCGAATAAAAAATTGTTATTGTTTTTTTAAACAATTTGAAAAAATTTCGTTTATGACGTTACTTATCATATATTATTAACATTTCTATTCAATATTCCTTATCGAGATTATGATAAAGAAGTAAGTGCACCATGGGGGATATGATTAATTTAATCTAGTTTTAAAATAATACATATCAACGTGATAAGAATCAAAAAAATAACTATCGTGATTTTTTTAAATAAATTTGAGTACAGTTAAAATAATTGAGATATTCGTTAAAGGAAAATGTAAAAACGACTACTGATAATAAATAGTTATATTAAAAAAACTTTTTTGCTGCGTCATTATTTGAAATTTTTACACGTTTATAAATGTTGATAAAAGTCATTTTATTTATCTATAACTGCTTCAAAATAAAATGCGATCATCTTCGACTTGACATATTTTACCATATCTGGTTGATTAGTATCAAACTTTATTTTTATCCTTAAATAAATCGTCTTTTTAGGAACAACAAGTGATTTCAATCTTTACAACATCCACATCATTTACCTTTATTATATTCAATGTAGTATTCAAAGTAATGTTGACTTAGTTGTTATTGGAAAAGGATTTAATCTTTTTATCACAGACAGAAAGACTACGGTCGATAGTCCTTTCGGCCAACGGTTTTTTTTATATATGTATACATACCTTTCTTTTTCTTTCTACTCTTATCTATTGTAAATTGTAAATAATTTAATTTGTTGGCCTTAATAAATTTTGTTCTCTCTTTTATGATTTGGCAAAAAGTTGGGAATAGTGATCAAAATGCTATTTTAATATATGTAAGTAATTTTTGCAAATTTGATAAAATTTTGCATTACTTGTCAAGTTTCGCCAAGTGTTGGTCATTTTCCTGTTTAAAATTACTAATTATAAAATATTAATATTTAAAAAAAACTTACCGTTTGTGCATTGCATTTTAAAACGTTTTCTGGTTAAAACTCAACTGCTTTCGTTGTTCATAACTGATCACAATAACCATTTATTCACTTAGAATGAGTATTATCAGTAAGAATTCGATATGGGTTATCATTACCTTTGAGTGGTATTAATCAATTCTCATTAACATCACAACTGCAAAAATGTAAACCTAAGTACCCTTACAAGATTTGTATAAGATTAAGTGCCGCTCTATGAACAACATGCAGAACATTGTTATATGTGCGCAAATTTCGTTAAAAAATTCACCATTTTTACGTTAAAAGAAATAGATTTATGTGAAGTACTTTTCAATTTTTACTAATATGGTATATCTATATTTATAGTAGTGTGTCTGTTGAGTGTATTTGTTTTATTCTATAATAACAATCGCACAAAATCTTGATCTTGAGTTTGACACGGTTTTTTAAGCAGAACTATGCAGCGCGAAGAAAGCTTTTGAAAAAAGATAAATAGCACAACATTAAGATATAAGAATTTTGAAACCTACATATTTACTGCGAACAATGTGTAATAAAACATTGTTCATAATTAAAGAGAAGATGTTTTTTTGGAATCATTTTTACATCCTCACATTTAAAGAGAAATTAAGTGCTGTAATCGTGTAAATAAATCGATATCAACATTTTGATGGATCTATACGTTTTGAGGGCCCCTGAATCCATTTCGAGTATTTTTAGCATTATATCTGAGTGTATGTGGGCATGTATGTGGACAGGATAAGTCAAAAGTACAATTATCTGTGACTATGAAAGCTATTAGATTAAAATCGTAGATGTCTATAGTTTCAGGGCTAAAAATTATTGATCGTAATTTAGTTTTTGAGTTATTTTATTTTAAAAGTTCTTTATATTTGAATTTCTCGGCAATTATCAAGCGACAAAGATAAAAATTGGTGTGATTGGTATTTAGATATTCCGAACTGGAATGCCATTTGTTATATATATGTATGTATATCTACCTATCTTATACAGATATTCAGAAATTTAATTACCATATTCAATTGACACAAGAAACTCGAAAATGTTAAATAGAGCACCGTACTGGTTTTTCAGATAGGGAATTTAATCCACTACAACTCAAAAGTATACATACAGGGTGGTCCATTTAACGTGAGACAAGCGATTATTATTGTATTAAATGACAGTTGTTCTGTGCGAAGGGGGAAACCATATGACGATAACATTTTTGACCTTGACCTTATTTTCAAGGTCGTATGAAGGTCACGACCAATTTTTTAAATGGCACCCTATGTTTTTGATTGCAAAATCTGAATCTATGGATAAAAGTAAAATAATTAAAAAAAGAAAAAATAAGTTACCGTGTGGTTTTACCAATACGATGGCGAAACATGTTTTGTAGACAAAATCTAAATAATTTTTTATTCAAATAGTTTTAAATATTGTTTATTTATTAAAAAAATGATTAAACTATACTATTAATCAACAACAAGTATAAAATTTATAATACATGTCCAAATATTTCCCCACCCACTTCAATACATTTATTAACCCTTCTACTAAAACTTTCTTTACATCTTAAAAGGTTTTCTTAGCTACTATTTCTGCATGCATTTCTTATCCGCTCTTTCATATTTTTTGGCGTAGTCGGTACTTCGCGATACACATTATCCTTAAGGATCCCCCACAAAAAAAAATTCTTCATCCGAGAATAGCACGTTACCACAGAATAACCAGAAAGGACACTGGGGATATCCCGCCTAAACTGATTTTTCTGGCGTGGCGATCTTATAGGTTGGTGTTATTGTTTACAATTCCCTTTAACTTAACCTCACTTATGTTCGATGCATACTATTGTGCTCAAAATAAATTTTCCTAAATTATTAAATTGCAATTATTAAAACTCCAAAAGGAAATATATATACAATTTGCCTATTATTTCACGAAAAATAAACGTGCTTTAAAATTCACACACTTAATATTCCAACCAGTAAGATGGCGGACGCATTGTAAGTAGGTCAGTAGGCCACAAATTTGAACCCTTGAACATGAAAGAGAACGCCGTCGCTGTCCTTTCTGGTTATTCTGTGACGTTACCAAAGAAATTGACGTCCAACCGCATTCGTTCTTGTGCCCATTTTCAAAATATTAATCGATTTACAAAATCACCTCCTTAAAACTGTTGATGTAATGAAATGTGGTATGGGTGATACTTGTTGCGCTTTAACATTCTTAAAATGCTGGTCTTCGATATTCCGACGTCAATTGCAAGTCGTCAAGTGCTAACTTGAAGATTTACCTCACCGCTAGCTAATACCGCAATTTCCTATTCTTCCGGAGTTACAGTTGCTCGCTGAGTTCTTTTTCTTGATTCCACATTTCCAGTGTAGTGAAATCATTCACAACCCTGTAAAAGCTAATAAAAATTATTTCGACTTTTTCTGCCACACGTAGAGTATCCATGATTTAATGACTTAGTTTAAACACTTTGCCTTAATATAAAACAGTGGAATGAATTCAGAATTTGTTGCCAAGCAGTTTTTATGCAAATTTAGTTTTACCTGTTACATTTTAAAACAATTCAACCAATTAAGTCTCTGACAGCGATATTCTGAAAATGCCGACATAAGCAGTTCCACGAACTCTTGTTTTCTATGCGTTGTTATATTATCAAATTGACAATTGAAATGTCGGAAACTTTTAAACCTCTTCCAAAGGTATTTCCGACGAGTCAGGTCACCCGATGTACCTCTTCTGGATTATTTTTTGTTGATTATTCTTAAATAGTATTCTAAGAATTAAGAACTAAAGACAATGTATCAAAGCGGGTAGGAAAATGTTTAAAAATTCATAAATCTTATTTGTTCTTGCTAGATTATAAACGTTAGTTAATTGTTTCTGAAGAAGTTTCAATTTTTTTCATAAGATGTTTTGCCGTTGTACTGGTAAAATCACACAGTAAAAATTTTGTATTTTTTTTTTTCAGTTACTTTACTTTTATCTACAGATTCAGATTTTACAATAAAATATATAGGATGCCATTTAAAAAATTAATCGTGACCTTCATATGACCTTGAAAATAAGGCCAAGGTCAAAAAATGTTATCGTCATATGGTTTCCCCCTTCGCACAGAACAACTTTCATTTGGTTCATTTCTATCTAACATGAATTTCGAGATAATCGCTTGTCTCACGTTAAATGGGCCATCATGTATACATAGATCCTTTATCATATCTGGTCAGAATTACTACTATTGATAATAACTGAGTTATAATAACAATATCTTAACTCAAAGGACACTACATAATCGAATTACTTTACCGAAAAACAATTCAAAATAAAAGTGTCATTCCTACAAAGACTGGTGAATGTGATTGTGGTGAATGTGATCTTAAATGATCCGCCAAAAGTCTCGCTTTTTCTTGTTCGTCGAATATCCTGGGCTTGCCGGACTTGTAGTGGCTTTTTGTGTTCTGATTTCCATAGGGATTTATTTAAGTCTTCTCCATCCGCATAGAGAGTCTCGACCAATGCTTTCTACTTGTACATCCATCTTAAACGTTAGTTTGAAAGTCACCTGATTAGGTTAGTTCTCTACTTGATTAAGTGAATATCGATACTTTTTGTAGGAAATCTGTATCTATAAATAATCTGACAGTTTCATCTGAATGGAATACTGATATACCTTCTGTTCATATTGTCCACACTATTATTATTTTTGCTGCCGGGCTGAGGGGAGCGGCCCGTCTCGTTACCGCGACCTATAAGATCTATTGTAACTTTAGCCCTCCAAAGGTTTAGGGCAAATGTAGGTCCTTGATGAACCTTAGTATTGTCCTGAGGCCTTGAACCTTTATGTCTTAGACGGCCTCTGGCGACGCAATTGCAAAGTATATGTTCAGCTGTTTCTGATTCGTCGTTGCAAAGTCGACAAGTTTGATCCTCAGCTTGTCCAATGTGGAAGAGGTGGTATTTTAGGGGCGCATGGCCGGTCAGGTAACCTGAGAGCGTCTAGATCCCCTTTGCTGAGGCATAAAACCTCTTTGGTTTTGTTCCGACGGAGTTATCATACTCTTCGCTTGTCTGTGACCTGGAAGTTCTTTCCAGCGTAAGGCTACCATTGAGACCTCCCTACTGTTGATTATTTGTTTTAGGTGGCTTTTTTGTTCCAATGAAGGGCGTTTTCGCTGCTTCTTTGGCTAGCTTGTCCGCCTTCTCATTGCCCTCAATGTTGCAGTAACCTGGAACCCACCATAGGGTAACATCGTTGCACCTAGCGAGTTCTCTCAAGTTGCTGGTACACTCTCTGATCGCGGAGTCACACGTGTAGGCCTGAATTGCCTTTAAGGCGGCCCGACTGTCTGTGAAAATGTTTATGGATGCACCTTTCTGTCCCTTCTGTAGGTTCAAAGTGGTGCAGAAGTTTATAGCAAGAACTTCTGCGTGGAAAATTGTTGAAAAGCTGTTGTTGTGCTGTCTTATGTTTTGTTTTTGGCCACCAAACCAATGAGGCGTAGGCGACTATGGGTCTGATTATAGCTACGTAGGCCCAATGAGCCATTCGTGGTTTGAGACCCCAGTTCCTTTCTAGGAGCCTGCGACAGATCTGGTTTACCATGATGGCTTTTTTCCTCACCTTATCTAAGTGTGAGTTCCAGTTTAGTTTACTGTCTAGTATTACCCCTAGGTATTTAACTTCTCTTTTGAGGTTAATAGATCTGCTTTCAATGGAGGGTGCGTTATCCACACTAGTAACGGTGATAAAACTAAGATAAGATATCAATTAGTAAAATCCAGAAAATTTTGACTGTATTGAGAATTTTAAGTGTGCAAGAAATTTAAAAATGATAATTTGATCTTTAAAGAAGTCTCAAGCTAACGGAACGAAGAAAAAGTAAAAAATAAGTATCGCCTTGCAAAGAAGAACAGAACAGAACAAAACTTTTTAGGAGACATTTTATTCAGTGAAGAAGTCACGTTTTCAATAAATGGTGGCATCTAAAAATTTATGGTACGTGACTATGGAAGCTCTTGATTGGATTACAAACCTAAAGTGACTATATTCGCGGAAAATAAA